AGCCAGGCCTTCGCATTCTTTCTTGGAAGGAAGCAATTTAACTTTTGCACCGGCTCCTGCCGCATCAAGCTACACCAGGGCCCTATAAAATGAGGAGCAAAACTTTGGTGCAGGGAACCCAGTCGATATCAAGGACAAAACCTTTGTAAATAAAAACAATGAAAATTTGACGAACATCCATCACAGATCTTCACAGCACTTCACAACAATCATGTCAAGAACACCAGATATGTCCAGACTCATCATCCAGAAAGGCCCTATAAAATGAAGATCAAAACTCAGAACTCTTATCTTTGGATATCGTTGGCATTCTTTGGCAAGAAGTGGCAGCTAAACAAGCAATTTTCTACAAAGAAAAAACAATGTCTGGCGGTACCACGATATACCATGGAGATTCATGCCCTCGTAAGCCAGGCCTTCGCATTCTTTCTTGGAAGGAAGCAATTTAACTTTTGCACCGGCTCCTGCCGCATCAAGCTACACCAGGGCCCTATAAAATGAGGAGCAAAACTTTGGTGCAGGGAACCCAGTCGAAATCAAGGACAAAAGCTTTGTAAATAAAAACAATGAAAATTTGACGAACATCCATCACAGATCATCACAGCACTTCACAACAATCATGTCAAGAACACCAGATATGTCCAGACTCATCATCCAGAAAGGCCCTATAAAATGAAGATCAAAACTCAGAACTCTTATCTTTGGATATCGTTGGCATTCTTTGGCAAGAAGTGGCAGCTAAACAAGCAATTTTCTATAAAGAAAAAACAATGTCTGGTGGTACCACCATATACCATGGAGATTCATGCCCTCGTAAGCCAGGCCTTCGCATTCTTTCTTGGAAGGGAGCAATTCAGCTTCTGCATTGGCTCCTGCTGCATCAAGCTACCATAGCATCAAGATGTACCAGGGCCCTATAAAATGATGATCAACTTTGGCGAAGGAACCCTGTCGAAATCAAGGAAAAAAGGCTTTGTGAAATACCAAAGTTATCCAAAGATATCCAAAGTTAATTTGATGAACTTCCATCACAGCATTTTACAACCATCATTTCAGGAAGGAGTCACCACCTATCTTCAGACTCATCATCCAGAAGGGCCCTATAAAATGAAGATCAAGACTCAGAACTCTTATCTTTGGATATCTTTGGCATTCTTTGGAAAGAAGCCGCAGCTAAATGCGAACAATGAGAAACGAGGGGTCTAGTGAACTATCACTATTTGATATATTCTGACATGATCTGGTGATAGCACGTACAGTAATAGCAGGGAGAATGCTGGAAGACTTGAACATATCCCCAAGAGACTCCAAAAGCATCCACAAGCTTAGCTGCTGACTTTGTGGCACTGCAGGCGATCCAATGACAATCAGATCACTTTCTGCATCAGCTCCTGCCGCATCGGGCTATCATCACTATCATCGTGTATGGCGTGTGGGACCTATAAAATGGGAATCAAAACTTTGGCAAAGGGATCTCTGTTGAAATCAAAGGAAAAGAGATCCGCCGTGATTGTATCCTAACAAATGCCTCATGTTTTGAGACCTACAAAATGCTCCTGCGAGCTTTTTTGAGGGCATTTTGTATACTCCTAATAGGGGGGGAAACTAGCCTACCATTTGCCTCCTGATTATTTCATATCATCTCCAAAAATCACGGCAAAAGGAAAGCATATTGTAGGTTGTTTTTGACATATTTCTATATGAATAGAAATCAACTTATGAATAGAAATCAATTTTTATAAGCATCAAACATCGTCAAACTATTTCACATAACAATATTTATAAGCACATATGCACAATTTTACAATTTCAATATGTTACAAAAGTACCTTTTTCATTGCTATCTCAATATGTTATTACATTATGTTCACCAACCATGAAGACGATAGGTCCCCAAAAAGAGTGTTTGGGGACCTATCGTTTTAATCCCCGCTGTGTCTTCCCTGTAGCGGTGATCCGAATGCAACGAGTCGGTTTATATTAAAAAAATAATGTACAAAATGTGTCCTTGCACACAGATGTATGGTAAAAGAAAATTACCCTGAGTTTTTAACCTGTAGGAGGCATTTTGTAGGAGGCGTTTTGTAGGGGGCAAAGCCAACCCGGGTAACACAACAAGGGGGGAGCCCCAGTGGCCCGAGGACTTCGACCCGGAAAGGCCACAAGGGGGAAGGCTATAAAGGAGAGACACAACGTAAAATCCACAACAATAAAATAAGAAATATCACGGTTATGTCACTTTTATAACATTTGAAAATGAAAAATGATACTGTACATGCTATCACCAGACACTCTCCTGAAAACTACCTGTGTTATCCTGTGTTAAAATTCATGAGCAGGATAAATGCCATGCAAAGCTTGTACAGACATGTACAGACCGCAGAGTGCACACCCACACTGCCACCTATAAAATGCCTTGCAAAGCTTGTACAGACCGCAGAGTGAATGCTGCACACCCACACTGCCACCTATAAAATGCCTTGCAAAGCTTGTACAGACCGCAGACTGACTGCTGCACACCCACAGTGCCACCTATAAAATGCCTTGCAAAGCTTGTACAGACCGCAGACTGGCTGCTGCACACCCACACTGCCACCTATAAAATGCCTTGCAAAGCTTGTACAGACCGCAGACTGACTGCTGCACACCCAGATTGCCACCTATAAAATGCCATGCAAAGGTTGTACAGACCGCAGACTGACTGCTGCACACCCAGATTGCCACCTATAAAATGCCATGCAAAGGTTGTACAGACCGCAGAGTGAATGCTGCACACCCACACTGCCACCTATAAAATGCCTAGCAAAGCTTCATCATCTTCTGTAGCTGAAAAAGCACCTAAATAAAATAAGCACATTGCAGCAGATATTCAAATTCAAGAATACACATATCAAATAGATTCAAAAAGTAAAGAGCCAATATAATCCAATATAGTAATAGCAGGGAGAATGCTGGAAGACTTGAACATATCCCCAAGAGACCCCAAAAGCATCCACAAGCTTAGCTGCTGACTTTGTGGCACTGCAGGCGATCCAAACAGATCACTTTCTGCACCAGCTCCTGCCGCATCGGGCTATCATCACTATCATCGTGTATGGCGTGTGGGACCTATAAAATGGGAATCAAAACTTTGGCAAAGGGATCTCTGTTGAAATCAAAGGAAAAGAGATGAAAAGAGGTATTTTGTAAAATAATGTAAATTGCGTTAAAATACCAAAATAAATTTGATGAACTTCCATCACAGCATTTTACAACCATCATTTCAGGAGTTACCACCTATCTTCAGACTCATCATCCAGAAGGGCCCTATAAAATGAAGATCAAAACTCAGAACTCTTATCTTTGGATATCGTTGGCATTCTTTGGAAAGAAGCCGCAGCTAAATGCGAACAATGAGAAACGAGGGGTCTAGTGAACTATCACAATTTGATATATTCTGACATGATCTGGTGATAGCACGTACAGTAATAGCAGGGAGAATGCTGGAAGACTTGAACATATCCCCAAGAGACCCCAAAAGCATCCACAAGCTTAGCTGCTGACTTTGTGGCACTGCAGGCGATCCAAACAGATCACTTTCTGCACCAGCTCCTGCCGCATCGGGCTATCATCACTATCATCGTGTATGGCGTGTGGGACCTATAAAATGGGAATCAAAACTTTGGCAAAGGGATCTCTGTTGAAATCAAAGGAAAAGAGATGAAAAGAGGTATTTTGTAAAATAATGTAAATTGCGTTAAAATACCAAAATAAATTTGATGAACTTCCATCACAGCATTTTACAACCATCATTTCAGGAGTTACCACCTATCTTCAGACTCATCATCCAGAAGGGCCCTATAAAATGAAGATCAAAACTCAGAACTCTTATCTTTGGATATATTTGGTATTCTTTGACCAAAAGTAAATGCGGCAATGAATGTCAATGAGAAAACACCTGCCTGGTGAACACGGAGACTTGAACATATCCCAAGAAAACCCCACAAGATCCCAAGAGCATCAACAAGCTTAGCTGCTGACTTTGCCGTAGTGCAGGCGAACCAAAAGGATTAACTCTTGCACCGGCTCCTGCCGCATCAGGCTATGATCACCATCATGTAGGACCTATAAAATGAGGACCACAAACTCTGACTTCACAGTGCCTAAGGGCTGAGCTGAAAAACATGTAATGTTTTCAGACATTCGCGGGATTAAACAGCAATCCAGCACTACACTGTGATTCTCACTTGTTTGAGCTATGAGACTGAAGGACATGCAATGATACCCCTCCTGGTTTCTTGATTGGTGTCTTGGGGCTGGTGGGCTCTCGGTAGGCACTGGCAGCGTCCCAGTGTGCTGTCAGATGATCAAATGCAGCCGCGTGAGCACTCATGATGTCCCAAGAATTCTTCTTCTTGGTTTTCTCAGGCGTCGTCATCATGCCTGCATCCAGTTGTCATCAGCGAGTGAATTTTGGAGGCCCGACACCAAGTACTTGAGAGGATCAAAAACAAATGTAAAAATGATTCATAATGTATTAAATAATATCGGTCCAAAACGTCTGAATCATGTGATGGATCTTGATGGTAAGTTATGGTAACAAATGGATGTGAATGATGTGAACGGATGTGAATGGATTATAATGAGTGCAAAATGGATTATATTTTGTTACACAAAGCCCGGGTGCCTCGATCATGTGCTGGAAGGCCTGGCACGATCTGTGGGTCTTGCTGTCTATGAAATGCGCGGCTTGAGCACACGTAGTGACGTTTGGGGGCTCAAACAACAATGAGCTCCTGCTTGCCATTTCATAGGAAGCCATTACATCGGAAAAACCAAAGACACAACACAACACTGATTGGTGCAAATTGGTGCTCCACATTGCTGCACGACCTTTTTCACCCATTTCACTTGCGCTCACTTGTCTGAATGCAAGCCCAGCAGGAGCTGGTCTAATCAGAGGACAGAATTTCCTTGGACTGTTTTTTGTCATGTTTGCCACTCTGCAAAGCAGCGATGCCTCATGCATCATCGCCCTCAGAGTCTGAGGAGTGGATATCTATGTTTTCCACTTGGCGGTTCATCTTGGACGTTTGCCACAGATCGAAAAGAGCACTGCAGAACTTAAAGGTCCATTTTGCTGTGCTTTGCAACTCTTTGGTTCCCTGTACAGTCTTCTTCTCCTTGTCCACCACATAGTAGGTCTTGTTCAATCTGGCTCGCTTTGCTCGCAACTTGGCCCGCATTTTTTTGTCCATCTTGCGGGCGATGGAATGGATGCCGGGTAAGTCTGACCAAATCCATGAACCTTTCTCCAGCGGATGACCAAACAACCCCATGTAGGTCAGAATCTGGCGCCAGTGAAATCGCCTGGCAAAGGCAAGAAGCTCTGGGTAGTAGAACATCATGCTTCCCTTCGGTTGCTCCAGAACCGCTGAGAAAAGTCGAAATTCCTTGAGTAAGGTCAGAAAGATCACCAGAGACAAGACGATTCTGTTGGAAAGCTGCACTTTCCAGTTGGATACATTTCCATATGGAAGCAACTTCGAACGTCCATGAACTGAAGATGAAAGGAAAATGTAGAGCGAACATGGTGGAGACAGTGCTAGCAAGGCTCCAGGAAGAAGTGAGAGGCCCAAACCCAGCAGGACCAAGAACCCGAGGTGGGTTGTGATATCATGGGTCACACCACCAAGGACCACATCAAATGATTCACATTTGAAGCCACGCTTGGTGAACACCTTCTTCATGCTTTGGCTGGCACCGAACACGTCCAGACAATCCAGATAGGGTGCTGCGGTTCAAGTCTGCATGTAGGCACGGAGTTCTGGCATATGATCTTCTGGTCGGAACCACTTCTGCGGGTCCTTCTCAAAGGACATGGTATCATCGGGCTTCTTCTTGCCTCCCTGCTTACGCTGGTTCCGAGGCATGGTCAGCGCACGACAAGAGGTACACGGCCTCACGGTCTGCGGTGGGTGAGAACCAAGAGAGCTGCTAGGACGCGCGCCATTCATTGTCATGATATCTGAATGTTCCTCCGGGAACCTAGGGCCTATGCCAAAGGGCTTTGACATGTCAAACATCTTCAAACTACCAGCCATCTGAAACCTCATCAAAAATCATCATCAGCACCAAACTCGGCAACACCGACATGAAGATGAGATGCTGGCCTGCAGAAGACTGTGCCCCAGCTGCAGCCTCTTGCAAGGAATCTCCTGAAAAAAAGGCGTCAAATGGCAGCACGGAAAAAAACATTGTCTGCAAACTCTTCTACGAAATCATTAATCAAGAAATCGTTTGTGATACATTGTCCATTGTGATGGGATTGCCCTAGCCATGACAGATCATGACAGCTCTCTATAAAATGATCTTCCAAGGTTTCCCTGCATCATTTGTGGGTTTGTTTTGCTTCAGAACCATTCTATAAAATGACCCAACAAGACATCATGTATGATCCTGCATTGGATTCATTCATAATTCCCACACATGAAGGCCAATTTCAGCAAAAGACTCTGGAACCTCATTTCATAGAGAGCCTTTCTGAAATTCTAGAGTAATCATGAACTATAAATATTGCTAAAAGAGAACTGAAAACATCTGAAAACATCTGAAAACCATAGAGCATCATAAGTGGTTAGGATATGTCAGCATATCAAAAACATCAAACAAACCACAAGAATTCAGAATTGGAAGTGACAAAATGGGCCATGCCTTCGGTCGCAGGTGATGCTTGCGCAGGCACACCTTCCCACCAGATGTTCTATGTTTTTACAGTCGATGCTTTTTACATTTTTTAACATCTTGTAACTGATCTTCGAAGACAGTCAAAGAGTGACAAAAAATTGTCAAGACACGTCAAGGTCCAAAAAGCTGCAGCATCATTATCATCATCATCGCCATCAAGAACACACTGTGAAGAAATAAGATGAGATCAACGAACCAGAGAAAATATCATCTCACTGCGTACCAACCCATGAATGTTACATCCCACCTGTGGCATTTTCCAGTGAAGCCACCCCTGCCGCGCCAGCAGCACCTGCCAAAAGATGCGCACGGTTGGAACCCGGCTGCTGAATAAAGATGGGGTTGCCCTAGTCATGACAGATCATGACAGCTCTCTATAAAATGATCTTCCAAGGTTTCCCTGCATCATTTGTGGGTTTGTTTTGCTTCAGTACCATTCTATAAAATGACTCAACAAGACATCATGTATGATCCTGCATTGGATTCATTCACAATTCCCACACATGAAGGCCAATTTCAGCAAAAGACTCTGGAAACTCATTTCATAGAGAGCCTTTCTAAAATTCTAGAGTAATCATGAACTATAAATATTGCTAAAAGAGAACTGAAAACCATAGAGCATCATAAGTGGTCAGGATATGTCAGCATATCAAAAACATCAAACAAACCACAAGAATTCAGAATTGGAAGTGACAAAATGGGCCATGCCTTCGGTCGCAGGTGATGCTTGCGTAGGCACACCTTCCCACCAGATGTTCTATGTTTTTACAGTCGATGCTTTTAACATGTTTTAACATCTTGTAACTGATCTTCGAAGACAGTCAAAGAGTGACAAAAAATTGTCAAGACACGTCAAGGTCCAAAAAGCTGCAGCATCATTATCATCACCATCGCCATCAAGAACACACTGTGAAGAAATAACATGAGATCAACGAGCCAGAGAAAATATCATCTCACTGCGTACCAACCCATGAATGTTACATCCCACCTGTGGCATTTTCCAGTGAAGCCACCCCTGCCGCGCCAGCAGCACCTGCCAAAAGATGCGCACGGTTGGAACCCGGCTGCTGAATAAAGATGGGGTTGCCCTAGTCATGACAGATCATGACAGCTCTCTATAAAATGATCTTCCAAGGTTTCCCTGCATCATTTGTGGGTTTGTTTTGCTTCAGAACCATTCTATAAAATGACCCAACAAGACATCATGTATGATCCTGCATTGGATTCATTCACAATTCCCACACATGAAGGCCAATTTCAGCAAAAGACCCTGGAACCTCATTTCATAGAGAGCCTTTCTAAAATTCTAGAGTAATCATGAACTATAAATATTGCTAAAAGAGATTAAAAGAGAACTGAAAACCATAGAGCATCATAAGTGGTCAGGATATGTCAGCATATCAAAAACATCAAACAAACCACAAGAATTCAGAATTGGAAGTGACAAAATGGGCCATGCCTTCGGTCGCAGGTGATGCTTGCGCAGGCACACCTTCCCACCAGATGTTCTATTTTTTTACAGTCGATGCTTTTAACATTTTTTAACATCTTGTAACTGATCTTCGAAGACAGTCAAAGAGTGACAAAAAATTGTCAAGACACGTCAAGGTCCAAAAAGCTGCAGCATCATTATCATCATCATCGCCATCAAGAACACACTGTGAAGAAATAACATGAGATCAACGAGCCAGAGAAAATATCATCTCACTGCGTACCAACCCACCTGTGGCATTTTCCAGTGAAGCCACCCCTGCCGCGCCAGCAGCACCTGCCAAAAGATGCGCACGGTTGGAACCCGGCTGCTGAATAAAGATGGGGTTGCCCTAGTCATGACAGATCATGACAGCTCTCTATAAAATGATCTTCCAAGGTTTCCCTGCATCATTTGTGGGTTTGTTTTGCTTCAGTACCATTCTATAAAATGACTCAACAAGACATCATGTATGATCCTGCATTGGATTCATTCACAATTCCCACACATGAAAGCCAATTTCAGCAAAAGACTCTGGAACCTCATTCCATAGAGAGCCTTTCTAAAATTCTAGAGTAATTATGAACTATAAATATTGCTAAAAGAGAACTGAAAACCATAGAGCATCATAAGCGGTCAGGATGTGTTAGGATATCAAAAACATCAAACAAACTACAAGAATTCAGAATTGGAAGTTACAAAATGGGCCGTGCCTTCGGTCGCAGTTGATGCTTGCACAGGCACGCCTTCCCACCAGATGTTCTTTCTTTCACAGTATATACGTTTAACATCGTTTAACCTCTTTTAACATCTTTTAACTGATCTTCAAAGGCAGTCAAAGAGTGTCAAGAATTGTCAAAAGACGTCAAGGTCCAAAAAACTGCAGCATCGTTATCATCATCATCATCGCCATCAAGAGCACACTGTCAAGAAATAACGTGAGATAAACCAATCAGAGAAAATATCATCTCACTGCGTACCAACCCATGAATGTTACATCCCACCTGTGGCATTTTCCAGTGAAGCCACCCCTGCCGCGCCAGCAGCACCACCTGCCAAAAGATGCGCACGGTTGGAACCCGGCTGCTGAATAAAGATGGGGTTTCCCTAGTCATGACAGATCATGACAGCTCTCTATAAAATGATCTTCCAAGGTTTCCCTGCATCATTTGTGGGTTTGTTTTGCTTCAGAACCATTCTATAAAATGACTCAACAAGACATCATGTATGATCCTGCATGGGATTCATTCCCACAATTCCCACACATGAAGGCTAGCTTCAGCAAAAAACCCTGGAACCTCATTCCATAGAGAGCTTTTCTCAGGTAATGATGAACTTTAAATATCGATAAGAAAAAATGAAAACCATAGGGCGTCATAGAGCATCATAAGCGGCCAGGATATGTCAGGATATCAAAAACATCAAACAAACTACAAGAATTCAAAATTGGAAGTGACAAAATTTGCCATGCCTTCGGTCGCAGGTGATGCTTGCGCAGGCACACCTTCCCACCAGATGTTCTATTTTTTACAGTCTATATGTTTAACATCTTCTAAAATCTTGTAACTGATTTTCAAAGACAGTCAAAGAGTGACAAAAAATTGTCAAAATACGTCAAGGTCCAAAAAGCTGCAGCATCGTCATCATCATCATTGCCATCAAGAGCACACTGTGAAGAAATAACATCAGATAAACCAATCAGAGATAATATCATCTCACGGCACACCAACCCATGACTGTTACACCTCACCTCTGGCATCTTCCAGTGAAGCCACCCCTGCCGCGCCAGCAGCAACACCTGCCAAAAGATGCGCACGGTTGGAACCCGGCTGCTGAATAAAGATGGGGTTGCCCTAGTCATGACAGCTCTCTATAAAATGATCCTCCAAGGTTTCCCTGCATCATTTGTGGGTTTGTTTTGCCTCAGAACCATTCTATAAAATGACTCAACAAGACATCATGTATGATCCTGCATGGGATTCATTGCCACAATTCTCACACATGAAGGCTAACTTAAGCAAAAGACCCTGGAACCCCATTTCATAGAGAGCCTTTCTAAAGTAATGATGTACTACAAATATCGCTGAAAAAAATGAAAACATCTGAAAACCATAGAGCATCATAGAGCATCATAGAGCATCAAAGAGCATCATAAGCGGCCAGGATATGTCAGGATATCAAAAACATCAAACAAACTACAAGAATTCAAAATTGGAAGTGACAAAATTTGCCATGCCTTCGGTCGCAGGTGATGCTTGCGCAGGCACACCTTCCCACCAGATGTTCTATTTTTTACAGTCTATATGTTTAACATCTTCTAAAATCTTGTAACTGATTTTCAAAGACAGTCAAAGAGTGACAAAAAATTGTCAAAATACGTCAAGGTCCAAAAAGCTGCAGCATCGTCATCATCATCATTGCCATCAAGAGCACGCTGTGAAGAAATAACATCAGATAAACCAATCAGAGATAATATCATCTCACGGCACACCAACCGATGAATGTTACACCCTGCCTCCGGCATCTTCCAGTGAAGCCCCCTCTGCCGCGCCAGCAGCACCTGCCAAAAGATGCGCACGGTTGGAACCCGGCTGCTGAATAAAGATGGGGTTGCCCTAGCCATGACAGATCATGACAGCTCTCTATAAAATGATCTTCCAAGGTTTCCCTGCATCATTTGTGGGTTTGTTTTGCTTTAGAACCCATTCTATAAAA